ACAAAAAGTTGTGAAGAGTTGTTGTCGTTATGAGCCTTCCGTGTAATTGGTTGCAAAGGCATTGTATCATCTTCAAAATGTTGTAAAGCCACTCAATGAATTCATGTCATAAAGAATAATATAGGTTGATTGAATCGGAAAAAATATTTTAAATTAATAATTTATTAATTTATTGATTAATTAATATTACTTTAAATTTATAAAATTATGTGATCCCGAGATTATTGATTTATAGAGGTTTTATTGTAATTATTTTTTCTTTGAGAAATACAGTGGTTAGACCATGATATAATTCTCATACCTAACATCTAATACTTCATTTGTGAAAAACAAAATAATCTAAATTCATGCCTAAACTAGTCAAAGAAATTGTTGTTTATAAAACCCTAAAGTTACGCTTTCAGATTGTGAAGAATATTTACAGAGAAAAAGAAATAAAAAATTATAGCAGTGCATCTTATTTATCATTGGAAATTATTTTTATTTCATGACTACACTGATCATGAAAAATAATTTTAAAAAAAATATTTTTTATGATACGATAACTTTATTTTATTTTCTATCCTCTAAATTACTCTAAATACAATGTTAGGAGATGTTTGGGTAGTTATATATTCTTGAAATTTTAAATTTTATATAATTTTTAATATATTTTGTTAATGATCTATTTTTAAACTTTTAAAATAACTTCTCCGTTCTTAATTTTTGGTAAAATTAAGCTCTCGTGAATTTGGAAATATATTTAAATTTTGTAACTTTTGTACGTGACAAATTCAACTAGTTGATTAAGGTTGTAATCAATTATTATGTATAATGGAAAAATAATATTTAGTAAAAAAGTAATTTCTTTATAAAAATATAAAATCTGTTAAGCTTGCATGATAGGACCGGCTTAAAGTCAAGTTATTCCAAGTGGAAAAGGGAACGATTGCAGCCATCAAATTAATCAATGATTTGCCAATGTACATGCTACTAGTTATGACTAATTACTTTTTACATAATTGATGTAACCCGAGTAATTATCATTATTAATAATAATTTCTTAAATAAAATATGAGTATAAGTTCTTAAATAAATGTGATAAGGAAAGTTGTGGAAATGACAAAAAAGAGAAGAATTAGATAGTATATGTTCATAATCTTTATTAATTATTGACAACACACCTCGTATGTGCAGTTGCTCGAACTCAATAACTACAAGAAGAACAATATTTTTCGAGATCATTTAATGAGATTTATTTGATCATAAATTTTTAAATAATGCGATAAGGAAAGTTGTGGACATGACAAAAGAGAAAATATGGGTATGGGGTTGATGCTATAATTTTGAAAAGGAAATTTCAATAAACAAAGTGGTATTTAAATCCCATAAGAAAGGTTATTAGGTGGAATTTAAAGGGCAATGAATTTGTTCCTTTTTGTCATCTTTTTGTGTTATGCTTTTCCCCATCAGGTTCCCTAATGGGGATTAAGCAACTAAAATTTATTAAATAATATCAAATTATTTTAATATAATTAATTTAATAGTTATTGGAATCTCTCTAGAACCTCTGCTTTCTTTTTTCTAGAATTTGTAAAAATAGCCCTTTTCACACTTTAAGAAATCCTCTAGTCTATATCCATTCTTCTAACTTAATGTTAGTGCATTTTTCTTTTGTTTTTATTCATTTAGTATGATTTTGAACACTTATTATATGATTGGATCGAGTTCTATTTATACAGTTATAATGTGCTCAAACTATCATTATAATTTGTAAGTCTCATTGAATTTAGTGTAATTAATTAAAGAATCGTATAGGAGAAAGACAATCAGATTACCTGACGTCTTTAGGAATATGTTTGGAAGACATGTCATCTTTTGAGTTATACTCTGCTAAGGTTGGTGTTCTGACTGCATACAACATGGGGAAAATGCCGTGTCTTTCTAAAAACACCAGGTGGTCTAGTCATCTTCTCTCATGTAATGTTCATTTCATCCTAGTTGTGAAAATAATTTTTCTATCATCCCAAATAAGACATTCTTTTCCCACCACATTATCTAAAGAATATTGCTACCTTAACTATTTGTTTAGCGTAAAAAATAATCATTAAATATATATAAAAGATAATATTTTATGTTGTTAGTATTATTTTATTTTGATCCTTTTATTAATATTTATTTAATTCTATTATTTATAAAATCTAATATATTTTTAAAGGTATAGTGAATTGAACCGTGACTTTCTAAAAATTCTCATAACCTTCAAAATTAGATTAAATCTTTTTATAAGGTTACGTGTTCAATTTCATGATCTTCGAGAACTAGTAAAACTAACCATGCGCTAATGGTAGGATCAAAATAAAATGATATTTGATGGTTTGAGGACTAATATATAATGTTCTAAAGTTTAATGATAAATTTAAAATGATAACTATATTTTAAAGACTGTGATAAAGTTTAAAACTTAGAGACTAATATAGAATATGAGCCATAATTTGTAGACCTCCTATGCAATTAACTCCTTTTTTAATTGAAAAAAAAAAAGAAAAAAAAGAAATAATTGTGCAGCAAATGCCACTTGGCTTTAGTTTTGGATGAAACCAAATAATTCTAAGATCCATTGGAGCATGAGAATATAGCACCGTCCAAACAAAATCCTTAAACAAAACAAAACACAAAATTCCTCCGACCATACAAAAATAAAAAATTAAAGATTTGGAAACACACAAAAAATATGTCCCCCAACATACAAAAACATAAAAAAAACATGCATTGTTTCAGGCTTGAGTAGGGATGGCAAAAAAATCCGAACCCGACGGAGAAAATCGAAAATCGAATTAAACGGGTCGGGTTCGGGGATGATAAACGGGGACGGGGACGGGAAAAATCCATTTATTTTAAACGGGGACGGGGACGGGTTTGGTAATCCCTCCCCGATTACCCGCTCCGATTACCCACCCCGATACCCGACCCGATAAATATTAAAAATAATTATTTATATATATATATATATAATATTAATAAATTTAATTTAAATAAAAAATATATATTTAATTTAAATATATATATATATACCCAGCCCGATTCCCGGCCCAATACCGACCCAATACCCGACCCAATACCCGGCCCAATACCCGTTTAAATATCTGTTTATGCTAAACGGGGATACCCGTTTCCCCGCGGTTTTCCCCGATTACCCGACGGGGATCCCCGTTTAAATCCTCGCGGTTTTTTAAACGGGGACGAGTACCGGTTTTTTAAACGGGGACGGGGGACCAATACCCGGCCCGAACCCGGCTCGTTGTCATCCCTAGGCTTGAGTTGTAATATTTGATTTTTTATGATTATATATTTATATCGAAACTTTTTTTTATATGTGGAGATAAACAATTAATTAAATCACATTAAATTTTAAGCTCAATAAATATGAAATTAAATCATCAATAAAAATACTTAAATTATAAATAAATTTAATTTTTTTAAAAAATACAACGGTATCTTAACATTTTTATATCCATCCTACCCTCACCATAGTTGTTAAGAAACTCGAACCTCACAAGCAGTTCACCCTAGAAATAACAAATTTGATGGGATAATGTTTTTGTTTTTCTAAAAAAAATAAATGGTTAGACCACTTGATGTATTTAGAAAAACACTTCAAAAAATACGACGTTTTCTGACTTGCTATTCTGTTAAGGTTAACGTTTAAATTGCATGCAGTCTTGAAAAAACATTGTATCTTTCATATGTCTTCTCAAAAACGTCAATTACTCCAACTAAATCTCTCTTATATTATTTATTCTATCCTAATTATAAAAATAATTTTTCTAATACTCATATGAGCCCTTTTCTTCACCATATTATCTAAAGAATTTGGTCGGAAAAATATTTTCTTTTATCTATTTTTGCGTAAAATAGGACAAGAAAAGGAAGGAAAACGTGTGACTTTTGCGGCATATCATATATTCCTCCCATTGGTCCACCACCTCACTGCAAATCAACCACTAAAAAACAATTTATTTGATTTATTTTTATTATTAAATTTAAAGTGCAAATTTTATTACTTTTTTCAAAAAAGAAAAGGACTATCGTGATCTGATCAGAGCCGTTGAATCGTGTGATGTGTATAATTTAAAATTATTCTTTTAGATGCTCATAGATTGTAACCTTTAAATCATCAATTGAAGTGAATCTCATTGATTTTTGAACGGTTCGGTTCATAGATTTTTAAGTATATGGTATTTTTAATAAATAAATCGAATTCTATAAAACATAATCAAATATTACGGTTCGTATGCTAATCCACAAGTACTTAGTTTGCCTGATTAATATATTCCCACTGTTTATGCAGGAAGCCTCAATCGGAATGGAGTGTTTGATATGCAAATTGTGTAGATTGACACAATTTTAGACTTTCCCATATGGAGAACTAATAAATTAAGCTTTAATAGAAGGGGGGACGTCAAAAGTGTCAAACTTTTAATGCCTTTGTTGATATTTTCAAACCATGTACAATACTTATCAAGTAGGAATGGACATGATACTCAGACTTAATGCGATCTTTATCTAGTTCTATAAGTTTTTTCTTTTTCCTCTTTGAAAATTTAGGTTTGAGTTGAGCTTTTTTAAGTGTAAAGTTTGTTCAAGTTCGGTTTAAGGTAAAAAAAATTCATGATTTGACATGAGAAAATAGTTAAATTATCTCTTATATATGTAAATATAATTATAATAATATCATTCTATATTTTCTTTCAATTAGGTTATTATCTTACCTAATATATATATATATATATATATATAATATTTGTGTCGGATCATGTCGGTTTAGATGTTGGTTTTTACCCAAAAATCAAGTCGAATGGAAGTGTGGAACCTCCTTAAACCCGACTTGAGTTGTGCGACAGATGGAGGGATAAAATGCTCGAATCGAGTTCCAGTAGGCCAAAATCCTACCTGAGCCGACTCATGCCCATCTCTACTATTAAGCTTTAAGTGTCTAATTAATTAAAGGACAAAGTAACTTTTGGTTCTCAACTTAACAACTTTTCTCAATTTAGTCCCGAATTTTATTTTTTGATCCACGTTAATCTATAGCTAACGTTTTGAGATTGTCATGTCATCAAAATGACTAAAAATAGTAGAATATCCAAGTTCAAGACTATTGCGGACAAATAATAATTAGGGATCATTTTGAAAATATTGTCAAGTGTAGTGAAAAAGTATCTTAACCCCTTAATTAAATTTAGGGTAGAGCATATTAGAAGTCACTAAATTATGTTCAAACGATCATCTTAGTTATTGAATTTTAAATAGTTACAAAATTGTAATTAAATTTTGTCAAACTGTTATAAAATTGTCATTAGATTTATCAAACTATTACAAAATAATCATTAAAATTTATCAATTTATTACAAAATGGTCATTAAATTTTATCAAATTGTTACAATATGGTCATTAAATATATCAAAACTTTACAATTATTATAATACTATAATGACCATTTTGTAACAATTTGACAAACTTAATAAGTTGAGCATAGTTTAGTGACCTCTACTATATTTAAACCCCCAATTAAGTTGTATTGCGGCTTTGCTCCTTTCTCTCTCTCTCTCTAAAAGGTTTAATTACTATCTTTCCACCATTTTCAACACAAACTCCATGTATAAAAGCACCCCATCTACTTGTCTACCTTCCCTGTATAAATCAAAAACCTCTCTTCTCTCCCAACAAATCATCTCTTATCGTCAAACCCAAAGAAAAAAAAAAGTTCGATTTGTTTTGTGTTGTGTTTTCAAATGGAAGATGTTAAAGCAAGGGCTGCACGAGAAAGATTCAAAGCAGTGAAGAAGATCAAATGGATTTGGTTCGTGGTCCTTGGACTGTTGAAGAAGACTTTAAGCTCATCAATTACATTGCTTTTCATGGCGAAGGTCGGTGGAATTCCCTTGCTCGTTGCGCAGGTAATTTTCCCCTTTCTTTTCTGCATGGAGATTTTTGGTCTAATTTTTATTTTAGTCCCTATTCTAATATAAAATTTTAGAAAAACTTTACCAAAAGACTTGAAATCTATGGAATTTACAGGTCTGAAGAGAACTGGGAAAAGTTGCAGACTGAGATGGTTGAATTATCTACGCCCTGATATTAGACGAGGGAACATCACTCTCGAAGAACAGCTTTTGATTCTTGAGCTTCACTCTCGTTGGGGAAATAAGTAAATAAAATGTTCTGTTATCTTATTTTTCACGAAATCGTCATGTTGATGATGTTTTTTTTTCCAGACAATTTACAGAGGTTTTGTTGTTGTTGCAGATGGTCGAAAATCGCTAAGCATTTGCCGGGAAGAACCGACAACGAGATCAAGAACTATTGGAGAACTCGTGTCCAGAAACATGCTAAGCAACTTAAATGTGATGTCAACAGCAAGCAGTTCAAGGACACCATGCGTTACCTATGGATGCCTCGGTTAGTTGAAAGAATACAAGCCGCCTCCGCGTCTACCACGACCGATAACGCCGCGTCACAGATGTTCTCGCAACGAGGGGTAATCGGTGATGAGTATGCGGTGCAAGTGACCCCGGAGAATTCGAGCACCGTCACTGTGGCATCATCGTCGGACTCGTTCGAGGCACAAGTTTCACCGGTTTCGGATCTAACCAATTGTTACAACAATGGCTTCCACGTTAATAACAACCCTAATCCTGGCTATAGTTTCCAATCCAGCAACCAAGTTGATTACTGCAATCTATCGGACAATTACTACAATAAAAACGAAAACCATGGCGATGTCGGCATGGATTTTCCGACCAACAATTATCAGCCCTTGTTGGATGGTGGTGATCTTTCAGACAATTTGTTGAACGCTGAGGATTTTTTGTTTTTACAGCAACAGTTCAACTTCAACATGTGAAAAAATAACGTTTTTATAGAGTTTGGGGGTGAAATTAAATTGTATAGAAACTTAAAGGGGCAATAGAAAAATATTCTTAGAACTCTAGATGTATATTGTAGAATTTGTCAGTGGTGGATGAGTTTAGTTTGTATTTTGATACTTTTGTCTCTTCTTCTTTTATTGGGAAAATTTGCAATTTGAGACTTTTGTTTATAATTATTCATTTTGATCCCATTAATTGATATTGGTCTTATTTGGTTTTTGTTCCTCTATCATATTGAAATTTTCGACTTAATCCCTCTATTCTCATAATTTTACTAGACAACCTTTTTAGCTAATCTTAATTATTAGTGCTGTTTAAATTAATTAAATTCCTTTCACACGTTTTGATTATGGTTTATGTGCTTCTTGTTTGACGGTGATAACTACAGCGCTACGTGGTTTATGGAGTAATTGAAATTTAGTCCCTCTTGAACATAAAATAATTCAATTTATTCCTCTTCAGTCCTAAGATAAATAGAATAATTATATTAGGTCCCTCTCAAAACAAATAATTTAATTTAAATCAATTTAATACAAAGTTTTTTAGCTCTCCCTCCAAAAAAGTATAAATATAATCAACTATTTCAACCATAATAATTTTATACGTAAATTGAATATTAGTTTATTTTAAAAAAAATGTTATTATTTTAATATAAAAACTTTTAAATATTCTAATTTCATCTATAAATCATCTCTCATTTTAAATTAGTCTTTAAACTTTTGAATGTTCTAATTTCATTCCCAAATTATGAACCTCATTCAAAATTAATCCCCAAACTTTTGAATTTTCAAATTTCAACCCTAGATTCATCCAAATGTGTAATTAATGTCAACCAAATTTTAACCTAAATTATTTTTCAAACACATATTAATACAACTTCATCTAATGTTTTTATTATATGAGTGTGATTAACATATACCGATAGTCTGGGATGAAATTTAAACGTTCAAAAGTTTTTGAATCAATTTAGAACGAGGATAATAGTTAGGAGATAAAATTGGATGTTTAAAAGTTTAAGGACTGGTTTAGAATAAGTTGTAGTTTGGAGATGAAATTGAATATTCAATATTTTATGGACTAATTTAAAATAAGGGTTATAATGTGAGGATGAATGATGCAATAAACTCTTTTTATCGGATGGAAAAAATAATTCAAGCCGGTGACAGCAACCATCTTCGTGTGTGAATACAAACTTGCATGCTATTTTATTTAGATATAAAGGATATGGCACGTGTGAGAATAAAGGGTGGGCGAGGCACGTGATGGAATAGTGTAGAAAGAGGGATGGCGGCAGGGGAATCTTTGTAGCCCACGTGCCTACAGAAGAAGCCACCCATGTGGTCCCATGATTGTGTTATGTTAATATTGTGGCACGTGGCTTATTAATGGAATTTATGTATTTTTCTTGGGGACTCCGACTCAAAGAAAATGATCAGTTCGACGATTTTAATATACAATTAAAAAATTTACTATTGATTTAAATAATAAAATTGATAAAAAATTATTTAAAAAATTATTATTTTTATCAATTTTGTTATTATTGTCGACTGTAAAACTATCCCAGCCGCAACTCTCCAAACAGCCCAATGCGACAATTCCACGTCAGCCTTACCCTTTTTTAAATCTATTTTATATTAAAATGGGTAAACTACTACGAAGATAGTAATTGTTTTCATTATTCTATTTTGAATATCAAAATTTAAAAAGTTATGTCTTCATCATTAATTTATTATAATTTGGTCGTCGAGTCATTTTTTTAAGTCTCTCGTCACATGCCATCGTTTATCATTGATCATCGTCATTTGGTTCATTAATTTTCAAATAATGAATCATTTGATCCATGATAAAAAAATAAAGGCTTGATTATTTTTTTGGCCCCATTTGGCTGTATCGTGGGGATGACCGCAAGGGCATTGGCTCCATTTGGCTCCTCAAAGCTCCTTCGATCCATAAATTTTAACTAACGTAAAAGCTTAGGTTTTATTCTTACTGTTTTTATTTGTTTCTTTAAAATTATGGAATTGGGATCTTTTTTAGTTTGCATGATATTCATGGTTAACTCGTGTATCTGTTTTCCCCCCCAGAAACTTGTAGGGCACATAAAGAATACATTATGGCTGGACATAGTGATTCCAGTTCGTCTGAGAAGAAATCAAATGAAGCCATGAATGATGTTCCAGTTTTTAGCGCAGAGAATTTGCAGAATAACATGAAAGTTATATATTACAGGTTTGTTTTTCGTGTTTACATAAATGCGAAATTATGTATTGAAAGCAAATATCTAAGTTCTGTTCTAACTTTTAGCCGAACATTTATGTCTATCATCGGAGGGGTTATTGCTGGGATTTTAGGATTCACAGGCTTTGTGGGGTTTGTCTTTTATTTTCTTGTCATGGCAATTACTTCAGTTGGACTCATAGCAAAGGCAAAGTTCTTGGTTCATTCATACGTCGATAGCTGGAACCGGATTATACTCGATGGTTTCATGGGTGGACTTATGGTAAGCTTCTTTATGTTTCGAGTTACACTACATATTCCATGTTCTAAATTTCCATCAGCTAATGCCGTTCTTTAAATTTTGCAGTCATTCGTGCTATTCTGGACGTATCCTATCTTTCTAGCAATGATACTCGAACACACACACACGATAGCATTCGCTGTTGAACCCTAGTTGTTAAATCGTATTATTTGGCTTTGCCTCTGCCTGTTTTTGTTATTGAGATGAATGTCACCTTCCGTTTCTTAAAAGTTTACCCGCTTCCGATTTATCTTCTGCTACATCCTTTTTGCCTATCCATACTTTCTTTAACATCTACAGATTTGCCTACGACATTGTGCATATATTCTGAAGAAGAATCTGCAACACCTCACTGGAAAGAGATGCTGTTTGCTCGCAACCGAATTCTTCAGTGTTTTCGTTTTCGATTGGTGAAACCATTAACGGGTTTACCTTTTGATTACTTTGTATTAGACAGTTTTTCTTCTTCCTTTTTTACCATTTTCTTGGACTCCCAGTCCCCAGACTGAGTCAAACTTTGGGGGAGGTATTTACTTGCCTTAAATGTTCGTAGCGTTGTTGCCGATTTCTTTTTTTTTTTTTTATGAAACATGCTTAAGAGCGGAGCTGAGGTCTCTGAGATTCATCGTGTCCACGGATGAACCCAAGGACGGATCCATGATATAGGTGGAAGGGGCAATGGTCGCCGTAAACTTTAATTACCTCTTAAACCCTTGGTACGTTTGAAACTATTGTAACTAAGTCCTTCCCCTCCCAGAATTTTCTAATATAATTATTTTTTATGATATTGTCAATTTTAAAATTAATAGAATTAAGTCTTAGTCTCAAATTTATCTAATTTAAATACATTTTAAGACATTTGAATTTTAAAATTAATGAAATTAAACTCTTACTCTCTTAATTTTTGTGGTTTAATTACTATTTAAGATCCTATTTATTTTGAAGTTTAACAACTTGTTTTTCTCATAGTTTAATTCTAGTTTCATCACTGGATGAATCGAGGGATTAGTCCATGAAAAATTTAAATTTTTGTGCAATTTAAGTATTTTTGAGTTTTTTTTATTAATAATTAATTTTCATTTCATAAAATTTTATAGATTTACTCTTTAACATAAAACCATTTATTTATGCTTATCGTATCTCACTGTCGTGTACATGCAAAGACATTGAATGACAAAGTATATTGGGGGGAAGATGAAACATCTTTTTCAATTATGGATGAATCATGGTGCATGAATTCTGTTGGCACACGTCTCAGTTCAATCATTGAAATAGCAGACTGTCTTGTGTTATTTCATGTTTAAGGTTTGTAATTGTCTTTAAGATGAGATTGATTTGGTTCACACGTATTTATTGTCTTTTAACTGTCTATTTTAATTTGAAACATAATTACTTAACTTGATCAATAGTATCATCATGAAAGTTTATGATTACTTATTTATATAACACGTCATCATTGAGTTCGTTTACGTAGAGATTTGAACTTTCTTGGGGGGATTGAACATCATGATAACGATAAAGATAAGCTAAATACCTTTTTCACTTTATATTTGCATTATTGCATGCAAAAGGTTTTCTTTATCAATACCCCACAAAACTTTCTTCCCATAATTAAATTAAAATATAGCTTTAGGATGTTAGACATTTGAAATCGAACTTTTATCTGATTTAATCTAGTTTACAAAAAAATTAAAATCGACAAATATTGTTATTTAAATAAATATTTTAATAAAATAATAACAATATACTTTAAAATAATATTTTTATTTAAACTCTTTCAAATATTTAGTAAAACTCCGAACTTAATCAGATAATCCAAATGTACATGGACAGGAACACCATGGCTTCGTTTATCTATTTAAGGAGGGTGGATGTGTACAAAAACACTAAATTCTTGTCTTCTCTACCATCACAAAAACACCCAAAAAAATGAACAAAGTCATCTGTTTTTCTCTTCTACACCTCATATTTTCCTTCACTTTCTCACCAGTAAATTCCCGAGAAAACGGCGCAAGCCTGATCGACACAACTTGCAAAACAACACCCTTTTATAACCTCTGCGTCTCGGCTCTCCAATCGGACCCTCACAGCTCGAGCGCTGACATACCGGGACTAGCCCAAATCGGAGCAAACAAAGTGAAAGCCAAAGCCACCGCAACGCTGAGACAGATCACGGCTTTACTTAAAGAAGCCAAAGATCAAAGCCTGAAGAAGGCTTTGCTCGACTGCCTCGATTATTACAACGCCATTGTGGACTACGATGTTCCGACCGCCATCGATGCTGTCGTCAAAGGTGACCCTAAATTTGGTTTACGGGGTTTAAATGATGCGGCCAATGAAGCTCTAGCTTGTGAGAGGAGATTTGAGAAACAGCCCAAGTTTCCGATTGAAGGTGATAATAAGGTGGTGCATGATCTTTCGACCGTGGCTTCTTCGATCGTTGCATTGATGCTCTGAGTCTGAGTGGCTTGATCTTTTTTTTAATGGTATAAGAAATACTTGATGATTTAGCTTTATATTTGTAATTTACAGCTTATGGATGGTGAAATGTACGCTTGCTACAGACATGGTATATGAAAATCTAGAAAATCAATTACGTATTCATGAAAAATTTACACATATTTGAGTTATTATAATTAAAGGATTAATTAAACACAAGTGTCCAAATTATACTTATTATATATTTTAGGTGCTTGAAGTTTTTCTTTTTGATCGATGTAGTTGATTAACGTTTTGAGTAAGCTATACAGATGAACTTTTATATTTTTAGTTTGTCCGACTATTGTCATCGATTCGAAAAATGAATAATTATAATCTCTTATGTTATCGATCTGTTTAATTTTAACACCTCAGCTGTGAATTTATGTTAACCCATCAAAAAGGTAATTAAAAAACTACAACAGCAACCGCTTAAAACTGGTATTGGAAAGGTAGTTAAAAAACTCTAAACCAAGTTTATAAAATTTTCGAAAATTTTATTTTAAAAAAGGGTAAACTATATGAGTAGTCCCTTATGTTTGTCGATCCGTCTGATTTTGGTCGCCGGTTAAAAAAAATGATTTTGATACCTTACGTTATTAGTTCATTCAGTTTTAATTCCTTAATCGTTTACTCACGTCAACCCATTAATAAAAGTTGCAGCCGATAATTAAAAAGTAAAAGATAATTCGCATGTCTTTTTCTTCTTCTTTCTCTTCCTCCTTCTCTCTCCTTTGTGTTGTAAACGTTTCAACTCAACTTGAAGCTCTGCTTCGAGTCTGTCCATCCCCTCTAAACAATTTGTTTGATATAAGGTTAGAGCCATAAAACAAGCACTTGTGAATGGATTCTGCCACCTTTTCTTGGGTTAGTCCAACTTAGTGGACAAGTGACCAAAATCAGACAGACTAAAAATACAAGGAATATCTGTATAGTTTACTTATAAAAAATCCGAAAGTTATGGATTAAAATGCAATAAAAACAAAAATCAAAGGCATCGGAAGTTTGGGATTGGGATGATGGTTACGAAGGCTTTTAACCGTGTTTGCTTCAAATGGGTAATGAGGGTTTACTTTTTATCACGCTTCCTTTTGCTTCATGGATCATGGATTTTATGCTATGTTGTTCATAGAAATAAAAATTACAGTACAAGCATGAATTGCATGTGTTATGATGTTCATACATGATATTCTATGGATTTTGAATGGGAAATGCTATAAATTTGCTCAAGTTAACTAATTAGGGTCCTAGCATATATGTGTCATGCCATAGAATCTTAGTAGTTGCACTTGCATCATGAACATTAATGTATCGTGACACACTTATGCGTCATGTTATTCCGCTTTTACGATGATCGTGACACTTTGGTATATCGTAGGTATTTATATAGTCTAGTTGATCAGTGTATCTTAGATTCTTTATAGTTCACTTTGGGTTTCATGTTTATATAAGTGGTAAACCATAAATGAGTGAACGTAACCGCAAGTGGAAACTTAGTAATGACTTCTCTTTTGTTATATGAAATCGAAAGTGGCATGTATATGGGATAGATGTTAAGTATATGTTTGTACTTGTTTTCTGGTTTACTTTGATCAAACTTAAGCTCTACACATTATATTGTAACCACACAGACACACTTTTGTTTGATGGTTACGAGAATGATGTTAATGACATGATGAATATGATGATGACTAGTTGGTTCGTTGCATGTTATACTTTACTATGTTTAAATTAGTGTTCATCTCATATTTTGTTATGTTCAATCATTCAATAAGCCAATCATGTTTTAAATTATAAGAAATTTTTTTTACGATTTTACATTTTGATGTATACGTATAAAATATCCCTTGCTCACGAATGTCTACCAAATCGACTAGAGGTGTTACAGTCTTCACTTATCTTTATTCGAAACTTGAGGTAAAGTTTGAGTAGTATAGTTCATCGAGGTTTGAACTTGAAGTGTAGCTTGGCTTGGATCTTTCATGCGGTAAAATCCTCCAAATAATGAGGTGATTTTCCCCCTCCCCACAATAAGCACAACCGTAGTTTATTTGCTCAAATAGGGTGTTATGTATAGTAAATCGGAAAAGACATATGGATCACACTGTGTCTTCATGAAGATGCATGAAAGATCCGACGTCTTTACAACCTCCATACATGGGTCTGAATGCGGAAATGGTGATACTGTTTGTTGGCGTCTTTGAGCTGACGAAGGAGCATGTTGGAGATAGCTGAAGAGCAGACACCATTGATGAAGCTTAGGTTGTTGGTGTTCTTGAGTTGACGGAAGAACGGTCGCTATTGATGAAGTTTAGGAAGACAAAGAAGACAAGCACATGATTTAATGCAGAAAGATGCTATATCTTCCGTACATCTTTTAGAAGACTTCATGAATGACTTTAAAATGTGATGTCAAGTAATATGATAATATTAAAAAAAAATATTTGTCCACTACATTATCCCAAAAGTTTTGCCTCTTTCATGATAATATTAACTTGGGAATTCAATTTATATGCAAGTATCGTGAATGACTTTCAAAATGTGATGTCTAGAATATGATAATATTTGTGTCCAAGATATATATGTCACGTTTCGGAACATAACTGAGAATATGACCTTTTAAAAACCATCGAAGTATATGAGCTAGACAGAAATGGATGTTTATTGAAGTTTAGTGTGTGAATGAGCTCTAATTAATCTTAAAGTTTAAAATAGTTGAATATAAAAAAGAAAATCTAATTTAAACTTAGAAATTCATATTTGAAGAAATTTGAACACAATAGAAATTGAACGTGAGGTTGATATGAACTCGAATTCAAATTTAATGCTAAAAATAAAAGAATCACTTATTATTAAATATTTTTTTATAAACTTTGTTAATAGTGAGAGGTCTAGATTCTAACGTGTAATTAGTGGAGATAATTGATGATAATGTGAGGGTGTAGTTAGTAATTAAACAAGGGACGATTGATTAATTAAACCAAGTGATAATTAATTAGAGCTTATCTGTTACCATTACCGTTAGATTTCATCAAATACTTTTTCTTTTGATTAGTAATGGGCTGGTTTGATTAATTTAGTCATAAAACCCGATAGTTTGAAATTTAATTTAATTGATTTTAACTTTATAATATATTATGTTACTGCTTACTACAGCTGCTAAAGATGCACTTGATTGATAACTACGTCAGTAATTCTTAATTTTGTGGGCGAGTTAAGTCGAATCAAGACGGAAGACGAAGAAGTTAATTAATAACACGGCAATTCTTCCGAATCTGGCCATCAGTACCCCTAAGCTTCCCATTTTCAGCATCGAACCCTTGAAGTCCTCGAAGAAGACCAAATGGTCCTCGGCATAGGAGAGTACTAGTTGTCGAGTTTGATAATCGTCCGTGACAAGCGACTGGTCGGACGGCAGCAATCCCTCCCCAGAAAGAAGATTATCATAATAGTGGTTGTCGAAAGTCGCGGGGCTGACCAGATCGAGCTGCGCAAGCCTCGAGTTCCCGTCCGTTTGTGACGTTAGACAGAATAGTGATTATCCTGTAGGCTAGCTCCGACAGACGATTCACAAGAGAAAATTCGCCCAAAAACCAGAGAAAAAAAGTCTCTAGGGTTTAATAAAATATTATAAAATAAAAAACAATCTTAAAAAGCAGTCCACAAGCCGGACTGTTATAGCAAAAAAATCGTCTTTATTCGAATTTTGCCAAAAATAGCAAAATCCCGAAAATCACTATAAATTGAAATTCGAAATAAAATAAGCAACCTCCCAAAAACTAAATCTAGTGATTCGGAGGAGAAAACGGCAGAATTTGAGGTTGAAAAAAAGGCCACATGGAGCGTAGCTATATGTGGAGAGCGTGCGCGTCGAAAAGAGCTTTTCGGATTGGGGTCTTATGCGCGATTCTGACACCTGTAGCCAAAGTTATGGCCAAAAGACTGAAACATACTCAAAACGACCCCAATGAGGAACATGTCACAATCAATTCCCGCCTTTGCGCTGATCTGCCAACTCATGGTATCTCAGCGCCATCAACGTGCAATCTGACAGCTCAACATCATCTGTCTCGGATCCCCCTGCATCAGTCACCCCGGGTTGGAAAGAACTCGTCCTCGAGTTCAGAGTAGTGTCATCAGGATCCACAAAACAATGACTCAGGTGCTTCACATTAAAGACATCAGAAGTCTTCAAGTGACTGGGAAGTCGCAACCTGTAGCATTATCATTGATCTTCTGCACGACCTCACAAGGTCCAATCTTCCGATCCTTAAGCTTATTATACTCACCAACAGGAAAACGATCACGAGTTAATACAGCCCAAACAAAATCACCAACATCAAAAAGTACCTGACGACGATGATTGTCGACCCGAGTCTTGTACTTGGTATTGCTCTCATGAATGGTCTGTTTCACCTGCTCATGGATACCCCGAAGATACTTTGCCATCTCATCTGCTTTAGGACTGAAACGTCCTATACGTGGAATAGGGGCTAAGTCCAACACCCCGGATGGGTTTTGACCATAGACAATCTCAAATGGGCTTAAACCTGTGGTTCTGTTTTTTGATCTGTTGTAGGCAAATTCTGCCTGAGGCAATGCCAAATCCCACTGCTTCGGCTTCGTTCCTGCCAAACACCTTAAAAGGTTTCCCAAACTTCGATTCACCACCTCAGTCTGGCCATCCGTCTGGGGGTGGTAGGCGCTACTGAAATTCAACTGCGTTCCCAGTTTCCCCCACAGGCTCTTCCAGAAATGACTGATGAACTTAGTATCACGATCTGAAGTGATGGATCGAGGAACACCATGTAAACGCACAATCTCCTTGAAATAGAGATGGACAATCCGGTCATCATCCATAATCTTTCTGCAAGCTAAAAAATGAGCCATCTTGGAAAACCTGTCAACCACAACAAAGATAGAATCAGAGGCCCTTTGGGTGCAGGGTAAGCCTAGTACAAAATCCATGCTGACATCGAACCAAGGAGCTTCAGGAATAGGTAAGGGAGTGTACAATCCCGCATTGGTGAGAACTCCCTTAGACCGCTGGCACACATAACAACGGTCCACATAATGGGCCACATCACTAGTCAACTTGGGCCAATAAAATT